GGGCAGCAGTGTGTGTGGGGACGGTGCCATGTTCAGAGCACCTCAGTGGTAACTTGGCAGCTGGTGGACTCGAACCTGACCGAACAAGTCCGCTTCCTTAACCACTAAGCCACCACAGCCCTGATTGCCCTGTAATAAAAACCCCGTTTGAACGCAGAACTCCACCTCGACATTCCTGTTTTTGATTTGATGACGGAGAACATCCACTACAATACACAGAAGTGACCATTTACATCAGTCGCCTGGTGGACGGCCAAACGCAAATGTCAGACCAAATGCAAAGCGGAATGGTAAGAGACGCAAATATGGACTACAATTTTGCATCAATGTTGGCTTGCTGATAACAGTGAAGCATATTCAGTTTATCCTGCTGGAGGAGACCCAGATTGTCTTGTAAGAGATCTGGAGCTGGGAAATGAACACTAAGGTCTTGATAGAAAAAAAAAACCCTATTGGTAGTTCAGATCTAATAATGTATTGACTCTGTTTTCACCACATGCAAAATTTAGAAGATCTTCTGGTGATGTCTATGACTGTCTGAGTGTTGTAAAAAGATCATTTTAATTGCAAAGTGATGTCGAGGCGGCGGCGGCGGCACAACTCACCGATCCGTCAGACGCACTGGCTCCTACTTTGTCCCCTGTGGCGTTCCAGCACACCTCGAAAATCCCACCCGTCCCCCTGTAGCTGTTAACTAAAGCACCTGTCTGGAGACACACGGACATGTTAGCAACTGGAGGAGTGGGTGAGTGGGTGTCATTTGGGTTTGGAGGGGGGGGTTATTGGTTCTTGTTATAGACCTGAGTGTTCCAGATGTGGACGCATTTGTCAAAAGAACCACTGGCGAGGTGGCGGCCGTCTGGGCTGAAGGCCACGCTGTAGACGGGCTCCTGGTGGCGGGTCAGTGTGTGAATACACACCCCGCGTTCGACGTCCCATAGACGTACTGTTGAGTCAAATGATGCACTGGAGAGAGAGAGAGGAAGAAAGACAGAGAGAGAGACAGAAAAGCACATTACAGACTCAGATTCAGAACCGTTCTGCTATCCTACCTCTGTTAATCTTACCTGGCCAACATGAGGTTGGCATTTGGGTTGTTGGTCCCCGGGCCGGTTGGGCTCCACTTGATTGTGTAGATTTCCTTATTGTGAGCCTGAAGGTCATGAACACAGTTGTCCTGTTTTATACTCCAGATCTGTCCCAGAAATGAGGAGATGACAGAAAGAAAAAGAAAAAAAAAATGAGTGTGCAGCACGTTCCTGTTTGATACAATCCTTTTACCGTTTAAAGGCAGATTTAACACTTTGTGTGGTCTGACCTTGAGGGTCATGTCATCGGAGCAGGAGGCCAGTAAACTGCCTGTGGGATCCCACTTGATGGCATTGACTTCATTCTTAGGAAGTGAACCAGAAGCAGAAAATAGGACGTGATCAAACAGATGCAACTGATCAATATTATTATTTGTGAGATCTTTCTCAGACCCGTCCTACCGTGTGTCCCTGGAAGGTCTTGACAGGTCTGTCCTGCCCCAGCTTACAAACATGGATACACATGTCGGTGCTGCAAGAGGCGAACGCGTTGTTGCTCTGCCAGTCTACGTCTAGAGCAGGTGCTGTTGAGAGATGGAGACGGAGGTCAGAACTGCTGCGGCAGAACGATGAGAGACGCAAAGACATTTACACTTTTGTTTTATGGCCATGTTGACTGACCTGAGTGGAACGGAAACTGTTGCTTTGCCTCTCCAGTGTTTGCATCCCAGATAATTGTTGTCTGTATGGAATAGAGAGAAAAATGACTATTGGGTCGTAGTACAATAATCCAATCACTGATAATAATGGTTTCCATCAATGGGCAACTAAAACCGACAAGCCAAGAGACTAATAAAAAAATGTGTCCTTATTCATTTCGTTACATTTTCCATCAATGGGCAACTAAAACCGACAAGAGACTAATAAAAAAATGTGTCCCATTCATTTCGTTACATTTTTTTTTTTGCCCAGCAGTTAAACAAGATTTATCAGACACTAATGTCGGACAATTACATGGATGATGTAATTAAGTAATTATAGATATTATTATATTACAACAGCTCTGTGCTTGGTTGTAACGTAACAGCAGCCTCTCCAAGCTGTTGACGAAACCGGCGGGCACCACAGTCAACTGGACTGCTGCCAACAACCAGTAGTCCAGCAGAGCCGGCCGTTTAAAAAAAAGCCCCTTTTAGGAGTAAATACAAAGTGTTGCCCGAAGCCTGGACGCAGCTTCCAAAGAACCACTGACGACCTCCAGCCCCACCGTTGTTATTTGTTTCAAAACACCCCGCTTTACCTTGTCTACTCCAGCGCTGAGGATGAAGTTGCCTTTCTTATTCCATTTGAGAGCAAATATCGGGCCTTTATGTTGACCTAAAGTAATTGCCAGGTTACCTGAAAGACACACAAAACACCGTTGAGAGCCACGTATCTCATACCGTATTAAAAAGCTCTTCGTGAACAGGCTGAGGCGCTCACCTGCATCCGTCCATATTCTGGCAAAGCCATCATATGAGCCCGTGGCGAGCAAAGTTCCATCACTCTGTAAGAGACAGACGGTACAGCTGCATTAAAGTTCATTTTTATTTTAAGATTCTAACGTTGTTTGTAGACAATAATCCTATTCATAAATAATTAATTTTTTACTTTCACTATGTGGTAAGGAAAAAATATGATGTCTGCCGCCCTGTGAGGGTGACTCGCCCACATGCATATGGCAGTAGGGTGTGTGGACACACACACACAGCACCAGGATAAATGGCTAAGTAGAAAAGAGTGCATTTACAGGAACAGACGCACACATTCACATTGTTTCACTGCACACACAGGCACTCACATTCCAGTCTAGTGAGGTGACGTCTTTGTTGCTGGGTACGTCTTGGCCCCCTTCCCGTATGCAGTGCCTTAAAACCAGTTGGGTGGATCCACTTGTGCTGTTCTCACTCAAATTCCAGATCCGCGCTGTTGAGTCCCCCGACCTGCCGAACACAAAGACGCGATAAGTTTACACATTTTTAAGTGGCTCCATAGTGTAGCGGAGAGCAGGTCGTCCTGGGTTTGATTCCCAGAGAAACCACATTCATGTTGCATGCGAGGGGCAGCCTGTTGCGGTGGAGCTGCTGTTAACGTGAGAACTTCCCACAGTGTGGGAACAATAAAGATCGAGTTACTATTAATAATAAACACTTGTGTTTATAACAATGTGAATTCTACAACCATTACTTTTTCATTTGTTAACATATCATTAGAACATTTGGGTGGATAAATAAACCCTATTGTTTGAGGATGATATATATATCAATTTATTTAGTGTGTTATTGTAATTTTCACTAAAAAATAACCCCACTTTTGATAACCATATGTTCCCATGTAAGGATATCTACAGGCTCTATATTGAAACTCCAACACTATGACCAACCACAGCAGTGGGTAACTGAGTGAAGAACAGTGATACTGACCCAGAGGCCAGGAGGTCATTCACAGGGTTCCAGGCACAGATAAAAACTTCCGACTCATGGCCTCTGAGGACCATGGCTTTACTCTGAGGGATCTCCACATCTCTATCCACCTCCATCATGTCCGAATGGTGATCTACAATACGGAGAGAGAGGAAAAAAAAGTGGTAAGTGGAAGGGGGAGGTGTGCTCCAAGTAAAACAGACACATATTTAAAAAACAAAATTCTTTATCTGCTTAAATGGAAAAAAAAAAAAAGGAAAAACAGACTGCTTTGGAATTTGATATCATCTTTCAGCCCTTCCTGGGAAACTTCAGTCTCACAGCAGCGCACATTCACCACGTGATCCGAGGTTGATTATCCAAACGTCAGTGGTGGATATCAGACAGCCGTGAAACTACAGAGAAGACTCTGTCGCCGCTGAATTTAGTTCAACGGTACGTGAACAAGCTACACTTTTACCTGCTGCAATCATTAAAATAAACACCGCAGCTTTGACGGAAGACAAACACTTGTGTTAAGTTGGACGCAGCAGCTCTCAGTAGTGGTAAATGAGCTCGGCCTGACGTACTGGCTAAAGCGTGGGCTCCGTTTTCCTCCCCATTAGCAGTGCCCTCTCCGTTCTTGGCGCTCCCCTGTGCCCCTGTGCTGCTGCTGCTGCCGCTGCCCGCCGCCTGCTGCTGCTGCTGAGCCATTTTGTCTCTGTAGGCCTGCTGTCTGGTCTGGACAACATCCGGCATCACAGCATCGATCAGAGATAGGGACTCGATGGGCCGGCCGTCGAATAAGGTTCCATCCTACAACAGGGAAATATTGGGATTTTTATAAATATACTGTGGTTAGCACTGTAAATTTAAGGGAAATTTAAATTTTTTTTTTTGAAAATGACCTCTGACCTCATTGATGCTGACTTCTGCCTCCACATACTGCAGACCTTTCTGGATGATAGAGATCAGGGCAGCAGGGGGCACTAGGGCTCCATTGATGTTGGACTGGCTAATGTGACTCTCTATGCCAAAGGTGAACGCTGAGTGGGAGAAGCCTAATGGAGACAGGGTGATTTACAAGCAGGTTCAGAGCCAAGTGTAAAAACAGACATAATGTAAATCACTCAGAATACTCAAACTGGAATAAGGAGTAGTAGTATTCTCACATTTACCTGACTCTTGAAGGTATCTGTAAACCAGGAAATTGACCTCATCACTGCTTATGCTCATTTTTGGTCCTGGTGATTAAACCATTGGGTCAACACAGTATGAAGCCTAAAAACAAAACAAAAAAATAACAAAGAACAGATTGTGATGTTTGAAAAACCTTGTGACATATCACAGAAATTATCAGGGGGGGAAAAATTACTGGCGAGTAATTCTCTAGTGTGTATACACACACACACACACATCAGAAAGGCACATGTGGTGGCACAGTGCCAGGTGAGATGTGAAGTATCTGTTGTACGCACGCAGACACAAGCACAAACCCACAACAAGATTGTCTTACTCCACAAGGCGACTTTCAAATTGGCACACGGAGTGAAGAGAGAGGAGGCAGGGGTTTAAAAAAAAAACCCACATCACCTAAGCTGACCTAGATCTTGTAACGTTCGTGTACCGCTGGGTGGCTGCAGAAGCCTCCTGGCTCTAGGCAGGACACCATTTTCCATTCATTAACCAACAACTGGAAACGATTACCAGCAGTCTTCACGAGGCAGACGTGGTTTTTTTTTTTTTTTTAAACAGAAATATCTGGCAGAGATGAGGGCTGGTGTTCAGTACTTGTGTCTGACCTCCATATTTATTCATGCAGAACTCTGTACTGTTTAAATGGGGAGGGTGGAAATAAACAAGGGATCTGGACGAGTGACAAACCCCTCTACTGTTTCCGTCACGCCAATCCAGTGAAAATGTCAACATGTCTCCAGCCCCGTAGCGGAAGCCAGAATCCCAGACTAACTTCACCAAAGGGCCCGGAGTACAGCGCAAGTCCTTGAACAAATTCAAACAAAGTTGCCGCAAAGACACAAAGGCTTACCACGAGAAATCCCACAACCAGGCGCAGCCAGTTAAATTTGACAAAAGACCAAGTAAAACCAGAGCATCTTACAGAACCAGTTCAGTAAGTGGCTACGACTGGGTCCACGGTTGTTTTCTATTGTTGTGAGGATGCTGGCGTGCACAGCGGTATAATTATTGGCATTATTCGATACTATCCTACTTTCAAAGGGAACCAACAAATTGCTAGTTATTACCATTTTGATGATGAGGTTACAGAGGAAAGGCTGGGTTTTAGACTCACACTAGGGCCATTGTACTGAGCCAAAGCACAGCCTCGGTTCTATGGCTGGCGCGAGTGCAAGCGCGGCATACGTCCCTGCCATAGCGCGGTTTGAAGAGGCGGGCCGATGTAAGGTACACTCGGTCACACACGTGCACGAGCATGGTTCAGTATGTTTCCTGCTGCGCGTCGATTGGCCAGTGTTTTCCTGTTTCCCTACTGAATTTCAGTGTCCCGTTGCCCTAATGGTTTATTTAAGTAGGTTACTTGATGTAAGAATTAGTCTATAAGCAATTTCTAATCAGATTCTGGGTTTAGTTTTACTCGTGATAATTGAAGAAATAAATTGCAGTGCAACGGCAGTGAATTTAATGATCCATAATGTTGTTTTATCATCAGATAAAGAAATTCTACTACTAGAATAAAATAATCCACGTTACACAGTTTGCAAACGCTATCCGTGGGTCTTTCTCGGATATATTGAAACGCGTCCACACCGCAGACGTGTTGGCACTTTCAGAGAAGCCCGCGCTGGCCGCGGTTTTCGCTTGCGTCATCACAACTTCCTGTTTTGGTTACAATCACTAGTAAAAAGAAAGTTTCACATGGTGAAATGTTCAGCCATCAGTTAAGGTGTAAGGCCTGACGTACATGTGTTTTGTTAAACCAATTAAGGTCGCAGGTCTGGAAGCACCCACCCCTCGTTCAAACCGATTTCTTGCAATTTGCCGCAGTGACGTCACATCTTCCACGCTGAACAGTTTGCTTACCCATGCGATCAAGAAGTTCTCAAGGGTGCATCGTGGCTGTGTCGACCTCAGCAAGAATAGTGTCCCCTGCAAGGCACAAAGAAAACGTAAATCCGTGTTATTGCAAACATGAAGAAACATTGTCAGTGAAAGTTAATGTTTCTACGGGCAAATTTGCTTAACTGATAGTGAGGAGAACACTGTACTCGAACCGGTGAGAACAAAATGACAGGAGATATTCCATACCACTACATTTAATCTTTAGGGTATTTCTGACTCGTCAGACTATTTTACAAAACATACTCAAGTTTAGTAAGAGCCTGTCTCCCCTTAGAGATTGAGAGATGACTGTGATGCACGAAACCTAAACGTATACACGTATATAAGAGATTTTTGCTTCAGTGTGTCAGACAAAGAGTGAAAAGGCAGCAGGAAGAAAGTGTTCTGCACAAAGAGGTTCGTCTCAAAACAATGAGAAAATAGGTCAGCAGTGTAAAAAAAGTCAAAAAAGACTTGGGATATTTGACTTGCTGGTGTCGGTGTCCACACAGGACTGAATTACAGTGAATTAAAGGGACCTCATATTGCAAGTGAGACGATATTATCTGTATTGATTAATAGCTAATTTTTTGATTTTTAAAAAAAATCTTTAACTGGTGTCCAAGAGTGAAAATGGACTCCAATATCACTGTGGCTGCAAGGCTTATTTAGTGCGAGCGTAATCCTTTGCAAGGCCCAGCACTTAACTAGTGGTAGTTAAATTAGTCAACTACTAGTCAAAACATACCTGACACCTCCGGTCTAAATAAACTAATGCATTGATTTAATATGGCAAAGAATCTGTCTCGTTCAGAGATGAAAAAAAAAAAAAAAGGAAAAAAAAAAAGATGGATTATTGAATAAGCTAGAGACCGGGTGAAAATGACAGGTTTTCCAGAGACATTAAACCATGCTACAACTGAGGCAGCGCTGTCCAGCTCTTATTACCAATTTATACCCAGTATGAAGTAGCATCTTTTAACACAGAGTTAATAAACAAATTTAAATGTATTAAAACAAGCAGAGCAATTTAGTCTGCACCTACTGTGGACTGCAAAGTTCCTAAAAACAGTGTAGCAATACTTGAATAAATTATTATGTTCTGTTGTAACATGATACTCAGGGTATGTTGTTTTTTTTAAAAAAAAACTACTGTTAGAATTAATATATATATATATTTAGAGTAAGGTATATGAGCCATTAATCAGAATATCTGCTTATTATTTAAATGGTTTTATCGCTAAGTAAAGATGTAAAGTCACACAAACTGCAAGTGTTTACAAATAACATGATATCCTATGGGCCATTAACAGGATACACGGGGTAATGTTTTGCCCCAACTTTTTTAAGGTGAACACACAGTTCTTGCATTACAGAATTTACACTTGTTTAAGCTTAATAACATGTATAATTTCGTTTATTCAATGATCACTGGGCAGTTACATTTAACATTTTATAAGTCAACATCATTTTCCTTTAAGGCGGCCGTTGCCGTCAGCACTCACACATGCCACACAGGCAAGGCGGTTCACGATGCACTCATTAGAAGCAGGTGACCAACAGTAGGCTGTGAATGTAGAGTACACCATTCTGCTCGGCATTGTGTTTATTTTATTCACATAGTACTAGCCGCAGTCTTAGCGGGGTTTCGTTTAAACCGTGTGAACTACGAGAGCTTAAACCAACCGCTTCCACTTTAAACCTAGGATCAACTAGCGTGTTAGCTAACGTTAGCATGCTATGCTAATGACAGGGTTGCTTTAATCTCGTACCTCTTTGGATAAAACCTTTCATCGATCCATATCCTCCACTTGCCTCACCTGTTCGGATCAGACCATGTTATATATATATTCGGGGCAGCGCATGGAGTTTCGTGCACTTATATTTACTATTTTTAGGTTATAAAATTGAAGCTAACGACAGGCGGTAAGAAGCCAGCGACGGCTTCACATATTCCACACCAGCGGCGTGACCTGTCATGCACAAATGAGCTGCCTGTAACTACTGTTATTTCAAAACAGTCGCTTAGAACGCAGTACAGTCTGTAAACCGCAATGACAACGACGGGCAAACAATTCTTAGGTTAAAACCATGGTAAACTGTGTTGACTGTCTATAAATTAAACTGTCACAAAACAAACGTGTAATTAGACAACAATATTGTTTCGCATTATGATGAAAGTGGTTTAGAGATGTAACGCTGAACAGACTTATCTAAACAGGCAGTACAACACTTTAGGGGTTAGCTGGTGTTTAAATCCGTCTATGTGGATGCTAAATAACTCGCACTAGATCTCCTTAACACTTATGGATCCAAAATCGGTTATATTTATCACTGAGGCAGACATAGATCTAGACAAAAAACACAGAAACCTCTGGAAGTTAGTCTCACGTCCAAGTAGCAATCACAACACGAGAGTCTTCGCCCATCCCCCACGACACCAATTTTTGCTTGTACGGTCACTACTCTTCGGGGATTACTGACGCCCCGCCCCCTCTGCGCTGCTCAGTCATTCACACTGAGAAAGTTAACAACAGAGTCTTACATCATCACCGCAAGCCACAGTTAACACTGGTTTTGTGTATTTATGTACGTATGTAATATTATCTAGTATATACAATATTCTCACCGTTATATTCATCAGATAAATGAACGTTTGAAAATGGCTTAGATTTTTCATTTTCCATCTCTTTGGATTATTTTTATGGCAGTATTATATTATATAGATCCTATTTTAGCCTACTTTTAGCCATTTCAAGGTAACATTTAACCACTTTTTAAATCCACCCATATATTTTCTACATATTTATATTATATATTATTTCATTGGGGTTTATTCAATTTAGCATTCCTTCCTATATTTTTCGCTGACCTTTGGCTCCTCCTTGGTGGCGTTTAGAATGTCTCCGCTATTAAGTCTAGTCTTATTTATTCGTCTTAATCTATCTTTGTCCATGTGCAGGATTTGACCACCTCTTTTGATCACTTTGATGTGTAATATTAGCCACTGGTCTCCTTTCTAGCATCTTGTTGCTTAGCTTTCAGTTTTTGCCTTTTTTGGCAAAAGTGCAGCATATTTAGGACATTGCTGTTGATTGCATTGTAATTTTTTTTTCTATTTACATACATATAGTTTATTGCTTTAAATTAGCTAACCTCAAGCTATTCCTCAACCAAGTCTATGTTATGTTTTTGTCCAACATTTTTTTTGAAAAAAAAACAACCCAAACAAACAAACAACATACTGTGTTGAGAGTGTTTCCAGGAATAAATTGTAAATAAATCCAATTCCTCCTTCCTCTCTAATGCTGCACTTTATGCAACATACTGCATGACTCACTCTGGAGGCAATTATTTTAAACTCATTCATCCCCTCCTCCCCCTGACTGTTATACACCTCATCCTTTTTCCATACAGCAGAACACACGTAGAACAATGTACTCGGCAACAATATAACATGAAGACTCACATCAGCATACATTTGTGACCATCTATAAATCGTACATTGGGCCACAGTCATCCATCAAATGAGGGATGCAGTGTTGGATTATTCAAACAGTGTGTGTGTGAGAGTGTGTGTAGGCGGGAATCTAATGCTCAGGACAATAACACGGGGGTTGCTAGGCTGGTGAGCAGAGCGGCAGCACTGATAAATACATGCTGGACATGTTGGCATTGTGTAATTGCTTGGAAACAGACGAGCAAGTGGCAGCGAGCTTCATCAACAGCCTTAGCAACAGCAGTACTCCTTTTTTTTTTTACACTGTTTTTTTTTTTGTGTGTTCTTGTGACCAGGACAGAAAATGAAAAGGTAACACCAAGCAGAACAAGATGATTCACGATTAAAAATACAATAAAATGAACGATGAGGCTATTCTTTTTATTCTTTAATTATAGTCTATCCTTTACACATTAGCCCTGCTGTATTCGGCCTATATCAGCCTTACATTTAACTTTTTTTCAGCCATTTTTAACTAGTGTTAAGCCGTAGATTTTTTTTGCTTGCATAACTTCATTGAATGTTTAGCCATTTCCATCTTTTCTAGTATTCAACCCTTTTTATTCGATCAAATCAAGTTTTGCAAATTTTCTAGTTACCTTTAAGTGATTCGATTTCAGTAATGTTTTGCTACTTCTGAGCTAACTCGGTTAACTCTTCCAGGTTCACTTTTAGCCGTCTCGTGGCCGTTGTTGGATTACTGAAGCACACAGTTGCTGTTTCTTAAGAATTTAGCAAACCTTACTGTACCTTTTTAACTTAGCTAACCTGAGAGTATTCATTAACCGCGTTATTTTCTGAGCCAACATTACATTTCTTTTGAAAAAAAAAAAGGGTCAACTTTTGGTCAGATATTTTCACGTCTTCCAGGCTTAATAGCTTGCTTACCCATGTGATCAAGAAGTCCTCAAGGGTGCATTGTAGCTGTGTTGTCCTCAGCGAGAATACTGTCTCCTATAGGACACAGAGAATAAGTTATTCAACACAGAAAGTAACAGTATCAGTGAAAGATAATGAATTATACCTACATTGTTTCATCCCTGTAGCTAATGACACTAACTGATTATCATCCATATATGAGGCTCTTTACATCAGTGTACATACTGAAGAATTGGACTGGTAGCTATGATGCAAACGGCAGTCATTTCTATCAAATCAAACCATAGTCCCACAGTCACAGCGATATATCATTTCAGGAGTAAAAGCCACTGCACAAGCATCAGCATCACCATGCATTATGTGTAAAAGCAGATAAAAAAAAAAGGACATGAGGCTCGGCTTCACTGCCTGCTCAGCAAGAGCTATTTTTAGAAACAAAGATGCAGAATTGCCTTTCATCACCACTGAAAATATGTCGTTTCACTTCGTAATGCGGCTCCTGCTGTGCAGACACTGTGTCCGTTTTTATAGCTATATTTAGGGCCAACATCAAATAAAAATGCATTTCCAGCTGTCCTGGTCTCTTTTTTCTTTTTGGCATTGTTTTCTGTCATACAAAAATGACTGTTGTGGTCTATGTACATACACACACACACACACGTATATATACGTAAGTTTTTAAGTCTGTACTTCGTAAACACCAGGGAGAACAAAAAGCTCTCTCCCTCTTAGAGATTATAACAAATCTGACATATCAACTATTTGAACTAAATACTTTAGATTTCCAATCGTCCCGAAGTGCAAAGAAGTTCATTTTAAGACTGTAAACAACATTTATCCCTCAAACGAATTTATGACATTTGTGGTAGAAAACTGTTATATTTGCAAAACGAATTTGGAAACGACAGACCATCTGTTTTATCTATGTGAGACTGTCCAAAATTTGTGGAAATCTCTCCACGACCTGCTCTCGTCCAGCTCCAGAGACATGGACTTCTGGTCCTTCCAAAAATATTCGAACGGGAGTAATCCTCAAAGAAAAAAGAAATGAGTTTTTAGTAAATAATCTCCTTATTATTACAAAATATTATATACACAAATGTCGATATGCCAAAGCAAGGCCCGCTCTTAAGAATGAAATCCTTTTGTTACAAAAATGTCTGAAACGAATAATTAATCCCCATGCAAATGAACTGTACACATTTATAGAAGAACTTAACCATTCCTAAACCCCTCGTATTTCATTTGTTTGAATTTACTTGTTCATATGATTTCACTTCTATTGATTTGAATTAGCAAAAGAAAAAATAGCTCTAATAAAGTACATTCCGTTGCATTCTTGTCTTCCTACTTGCAGAAGTAGCACAGTCTTTCATTAGGACCTGACAAAAGCACCAACATCAGTTCAACAGCAGCTGGTGCTCAGAGTTTTCTCAGGTAAGGCATCAGGTGTAACACTGGTTGTAACAGTTTAACCACTGATCAAGATAAGGTTAGATCAGGGGGAGTGGTAGTCATAGATGAGGAACTTATAACAAAATAAAATAAACCAAATTAAAGAAAATAAGTGTATTGCAAAGAAGTGTATCTAGGGACTTTATGATTGAATACGTTTTGTAAATGTGAAATCTTTTGCTATTAAAAGAGTAAACAGTTGTTATTCTGTTCATTGTGGAAGTATTCTGGGGTTTTTCAACAACTTTGTAAGGTTTGTGGTTCATTTTAACTTAGTGTCAGCTTACTTTTTACCACTTTTTACCTAAATCAGAAAAAAACCTATGTAAAAAAAAAGCTGATGTAAAAAATAACTAAGTAAATAAAAAGGTGTTTTTAAAATAAACAAAAAAAGAAATTAATTGTATTGCAAATAAGCAAAAATATATACGGATAAAGCTATAAGTAGGAACAGAAATACGTATTTATTCATCACAACGTGTTTTAAGTTGGAAGCTAAACCAAAATGAACAATTTTAAATAGTTATACAGTGAATAAATCAAAGGAACACTTTATCAACGTGGCAGCCATTTTACTTTAAATCTATTTTTAATAAATAACTGTTCGTTAACATTCTATTGTCTGAAAAAAGTCGATAATACTTGGCAAAACCTGGTTTCATTTAAATCAATGATTGAATTTCCATTTCCTGCTCATTTTGTGTACTCGCCACCTGGTGACGAAAAATCAGAACGCACTTCGTTTAAACACTCGCTTTGTAGTAAAAAATATATTTTTAGCAAAGCTACTAAAACGTTGATACACGTGAGAAAGTTACATGGTGATGCGGTCGGTTGTTCGGTTTAGCTCCGCCAACAACAAGGTCCGGCCATTAGGTTGTCTACTCTATGTGTAGTTGTATATTTGAGCCACTGGAGGGCGCATGACTATAATGTAGTCGCGGGAAACCCCTGGAATATCCAGGGAAACCCCGTCGATGTCAATTGACGGGCACTATGTTAGTAAATGCTTGTTGGCGGAGCAAAACCGAACATCACTTTGCTACGGGAGGCCTAAAATTGTAACCATCCGCCAAAAAACAAAAACGCCCTTGTGAAAATTTCACGAAATAGTCCGTTTTAGTGAAAAACTAAACCAATTTAAACATATTAAATCACGATATAAATTCATGCAACTTTTCCACATGTATCAACGTTTTAGTAACTTTGCTAAGAAACTATTTTTAACTAGAAAGCGAGTGTTTAAACGAAGTGCGTTCTTATTTTCCGTCACCAGGTGGCGAGTACCCTAAATGAGCAGGGAAGGGAAATTAAATTTTTGATTTAAAAAATATATATATACGATATACGTTATGTCGACGCTTATTCAGCGAAACGATGCAATGTAGTTATGTATTAAAACTTATAACTTTAATTATATAGTTTATATGTGTAAATAATGATATATATTGTAAATCTGTTTGTGTCAATGCAGAAACTAATTGCTAAAACACTGTTATATACAGTTATTAACAGTATACTCTATCTATTTTTTATATTTAGCAGGTGCTATGTTTATCATATAATTGTATTTGTCCCTTTTTTATTGTGACTTTAGACAAAACATTGGAAATGTCAATAGTTTTATAAATAAAACAATCCTTTCACATTTGTGGTGGTCACCAGACAAGAACATATAATGACATGGTCTGATTTTGAAATATTCAGATTAAATATTTTTGCATTTTTTTGCAATAGTAAGATTGTGCATCTGTTTGGTTTTTTTATTTTTGCATTTTTTCGCGATAGTAAGACGATGATGTGCTCTGAGCATGGCACCGTGATCGTGTGTATCTACTGATTGACTAACGAGCCTGCGCCTGGATTGTAGATGTCGCTTGTGATTGGATAACGAGGCGCATCCTTGACCTTTAACAGCGGAAGGAAAGCGTAACACTTCCGGGGCCAGTGATGGTTCCGAAGGGACGCTGTGTGAGGGCACAGAGAACAGAGTTTGCTGTTATTTCGACGGTACGTATTTCCATCTCTGGTTCTCTTCACTTCGCGTCGTGTGAAGGACCAGTATTTAAAGCATAGAGTGCCTGGTTTGCAGGAATACTCACTTCAGTAAATCAGTTATATTTTATTTTATTTTATTTTAATTGCCCATTTTAAGTGTGCCCTTTTTTTCCAGAGGTGCAGAGGAAACAAGAGGAGATGTGTGGACGTCTCCATGGTGACCGCTGTGGTGGAGAGGAGGTGGCTGGTGCAGACGATGTGGAGGCAGGGGAGATGACGGATGGTGGTGGTGACGAATTTGAAGATGTAGCCACCAGTGACATGGTAAGGAGGCCAAGTCATTTCATCACTGTCATATAGGAGTCAGTATTACTTAGTTTTATTCCTGTGTGACGCTGCTATTGGAAGCCATCCAGAGACATCACTGTCCTCCTGTAACCCCATACTGTACAACTACTGTACATATTTAAAAGATATTGCTTATTTTTATTGCTGTACCTTTATCATAATCTAACTCTTCTTGCATTGCAGATAGAGAACCATATATCGGATGTTGACAATTAAATCAGGTCAGTATCTAAGTGTAGTATATAACACAATACTGTTTTAAATTGTAAATATAAGGGAACAAACCAATTGCTGTCAGTTGGTGTCTCAGAGAATAGAGTAAGCGTAAAGAAATGATGTTTGCAGAAGATCAACTTGGAGGAACAGTTACCAGCAGAACCTTCTTCAACGATAAGGGGTTAAAGAAAAGAAAGGACTGTTTTTGAAACGATTATGTTCAAATGTTCCTCATTGGATTATAACGTTCCTAATATGTACTTGCTGTATATTGACATTGACATGCTAAAAAACTACAAAACTCTGAACCTTTACGTATATTTGTGTCTACTGTAAAATAAATACCAATTAAAACAAATCATTTAATAATTCATAAATAAATTAATAGATACATTATTTAAACAAAAACAGAAATAAAAAGAGAACAAATGAGTTTATTAAGTTTAAGTTTATTAATAACATTTCAGATCGTCAGTCACATCCATCCACTAGGTAGTAGGTTTCAGGTGCAAATCCAACAAACTCTATCATTTATTTATTTAACAGAAAACAATGACATATTTTCACATGACACTTCACTCCTAATATTATAAGCTATTATTACAATAAACAGTGAATGTTGGTACATGTTTGTTGCAATGAATTGAGCTGCTCAACAGTTTTTCTGATTTTCCTCTGGATGATGCAACGGACATTGCCCTTCAGAGAGAAATCTACTCGTATCGCATTCGTCATTTAAAAGTATTTTAAAGTAAGATGATCTTTCTTCAGTCTCCAAAACTAAACCAAAAATTGAAACCTCACTCTCATGGGGTTATTGGACACTGTGTGATCATAGGCTGTGAATTCAACCTTTTTATTTTTTTACATTCCTTGTTCTTTCATTATTTGGCTTCTCGGGTAGCAGAAGGTAGTGTTGTATTTCACAGCTTTATAATGAATCGCTTGTTTGACCTCTGTTTCCTTGTGAGGTCATTTTAAAAAAAAAAAAAAAAGGTATTGTTAACATGCCGCACCCTATAAGAAAGGCTATTATTTCCCAGTACTGGACCGAATGTGTCAGAGACTCCGGGGAGAGAAAAGGCAGCAGATTCTCAGGACTCATTTCTTTTCTACGCAAGTAAAGAAAGAGTGCAGACAACATGCAACATGCTGCTGCTTCTGCTGCCCCTGTTGTCTGGAGGCTTGACTCTATGTGTTGGACAGACTGGTAAGTATAGTAACTTAAAACTTCAATTTCATTTAATTTACTACATGTTTGATGGGAACATGAAATGAAATATATTGTAATTTTAACAACTAAGCAATTTTTTTTGTATCATTTTTGTTGGATTTTTATCATTCTTAACCTTTAAATGTTTTTTCTAGCACTGCACTATGTTTGAATTCCCTCGCTTTTGTGATTGGTCATTTGTCAAATCTAAGCTATATTATGTATTTTTCATAAAAACATAACATGCTGCAATTTACCCATTATTTAGCTTAGCTCATAGCTGTATCTACACTTTATTTACTTAACATTATTGCTAGCTTAGTTTTAGTAACTATTTCGCTCACTTTTAGCAATTTCTTTTTTCTTTCTTTATGCGTAGAATTATTTCACATTAGAAATGTAGATCTACAGTAACTCTGTTGTTGCTAATTATCACCTTGGGAAAATATGTTAATAAATGCTAAGACAGGAACATCATAACATAGTAGCAATATATATGTATATATGTATATATACATACAGTATATAAATATATATGTACATCATAACATAGTAGCAATAGCCATACTTATACATATATGTATACATATACACACATGTATATATACATATATATACACACACATATATATATTTCAAGAGTAATACAACATTCAGTTTTTCTGACCCTGAATTAATTACATGTGCTGTTTTCTCACAGCGTCATTAACACAGACCACGGTACAATCCCTCCTCACACAGCCAGTCCATGCCACTGCTGTCCTTCCCACAGCTGATGATGCACACAACAGTAAGTTCACCCCACACTTGTTCAAGTGTGATCTAAAGGGCACTCCTCTTAAAAAAAAAGAATTCTGATATTTCTCCACGCAGATGTCGCGGTTCTTCTAACAGCTGTTCAGTCGACCCGCGCGCTCAACGAAACAACACTTGCTCCCGTCTTGAACAAGGTGATCGCCTGACTGAAATGATGCAATGGCTAGAGTTAGATTTTAGTTTGGCTAATCAAACGGCATATTGATTAATTGTTTTACAGCTCCACGACATCATCCAGGGGATTCAACCGGACGCAATGTTCTCCCTCAGTCTGAAAAACTACACCAGAGTCTGAGTGGCCGACTTTGGTAACACAAGACACTGATAACGCGTTTGTGTGTACTTGTGTCTTTGTGCGAGTGAAGAAGAGACAAAGAGACACAAGCTGCCCAAATGTCTGCCAAACAGTGGTTTGGAAATTTTATTTTATTTAATATCACTATACCCATAAATACGCACCATCACTGAAGGATCATTAAAATTTCAAAATAAAAACATCTTTTGGACTTTATTCTGTTAGTATCAGAGTCGGAACGACCTGTTGTTTTGAAAGGTTGCCAGATTATGTTTGAAAGAAAAAAGTAAAAGGATACGAATGAAGTGAATTAGTAAAACTGAAGTACATATCTTGACTGTGTCCCACTGCGACCCGGTACCCAATGACCTACGGACCTCCACCGGTCCCCGCACCATGTATTGGGGACCGGTGCTGTTGAGGACCACTTGGCGTCTAAGACAAGGTGCAGTTTGCGGTATCGAACCCGGGACATATCCACTTGTTGCTGAACTGTTTGTATCCCGCGGCATCTGTCAGACTGCTCCCTGAAAACGACACCAAAGATGTTGACAGAGTTGACAGTGGGTTTTCACAGCTGTCTCACTCAGTATTTCACCCGAGAGAACATTTACCATTTATCAAATTCTGGAGGCTGCAGAAGTTTGTGCCGTCATCTGTTGCATCTTTAACGGTCCCATACATGGCCTCCCCCTGTTCATTAGAAACACCGGTAAAGATAATCAATTAATCGCTTCATGAACCAACAGGTAAACCACGTGGGAGAGATACTGGGCTGGGTGACGCATCAGGTTGTCGCTAACATGGCAATTTTACAAAGAGGATGAAACTAATCGGATAAAAGAATAAATAAATGAATGTGTTCCGTCGCAAGGGAATCCAGTTCAAAGCAGATCTTCCAGCCATTCGAGTCTCTAATTGCACTATCAACTTAAGGCAGTAGGTGGTGTTATAAAATAAAAGGTGTAGTCATAATTTGTTCTTTCACGGTAAAGTTTTACCGTTATTTACCCAAAACATTACACGTTTATAAATTGAAGGAAGTACTTCATTTGGATAAATAAAATAATAGATTTTTTAAAGTACATTACATATTGTTGTAGTGCACTTAAACAAATGAAAACTCTATGGTATAAACTTCGACTTTTAAAAGAAAAAAAACATTTCAATATTTACTCACAGTCATTTTACAAACGGTGGACTGCTCCAGAAGAAACTGAAGGAGGTTGGTTTTCTTGGTCTTGGGAGACGTGTAATTGGCCTGGACCATGTAAGGAGCTGCCGTCACAAGCTGCAGCACAATTAAAAAAAAGTCAGTCAAGAACGATGACGATAAAGACTTGGCGTGCATGAACTTTGACGTCTGAGGTCAACACCTTCATATGTAGTTACAGTATAAAAACACACTTTTTTTTTTTAGCATTTAGGTGAAGTATCTGACCTTGTACGAACACTTCTCCTTTGTGAACCGACAGGACGGTTGGACCTGCCACGCCTTGATCTGGCTCACCAGCTTTTCACTGACCTCGCTGCAGTCGATACCAAACAACCTGCGGAGCAGAGTGAGTGAAGTGACTTTTCCGCATGTTAGCTGGTGTCAGATGGTGGTCGTGGTGTCAACTGAGGGTGAGCTCGACATTAGACCTCACAGAAGAGAGGAATTCATTGTAAAAAGTGCATGACCGTGACTACTCAAAATGTCATGCTACCCAGACCTAACCATAAGAACTCTTCCATAACAAACTGCTTTCCTGATGCTGGTCATGCTCGGTGAATCGTAAAAATTCAAATTTCATGCGTGTCCCCCTCATCAGGGGACATCAGTCAGTGGTGGGCCCTAAAGGGATTTGGCAGAATTTCTAAGGGCGTTTAGTGCTGAGCCATAGAGAAAAAAAAAAGATGTATTTATGAATTCAACATTAATATGAGGGATAAATGGCTGTATAAAAAAGTGAAAGTCGCTAGATGGCAGCATTGCAGCTTATTTAATTATTTTTTTTATTATTCAGGGGACTGTATGCAGAATCTTTGTGCCAGCAATTTATACAATGCTTTATACAGATAAATAAATAAATAAATACTACTGGGTCTATATTGGTATCGGAAATTAAGTGTTTGGACAATATCCCAACTTCTACCACTTCATCATTAAATGTGCAGGGAGCTGGAGCCAATCTTAACACGTTTTCTAACACTTATGAGCAGGATAAGGTATAAAGTAACAGTTTGTGCTAAACATAGAGACAAACAAACATTTCTACTAACATATGGTCATTTATAAGTGACAGATTAACTTGATCTTCATCATCGAGAGCTTCTATAAAATCTACTTCTCTAAAATGAAGAACATCGCATTTTCCTACTCCAAATACGTCTTAATTAGCGTACATACATAGTAGAGCATTGAGCATTATAGTGAGTTTTTTTGTTGTTGTTGTTTTTTTTTTACTTACCATTTGATTTTGCATTGTGTAGCGGGATCGTCCTGTGACACGCTGAGTGTGGCCCCGAAAACAAACCCTAAAACCACAATCAGAGTTCTTCGGTCCATGGTGAAGACTGTGGTGTTCTGTAGAAGTGGAGTGAAGTCGTCCCTTTAAGTCTCAGCCGCAGCAGCTCTGGGAGTGTCATAAGGGAGCACTTGGATCATGCGGAAAACTGGCCAGAACAACTATGAATTTCACAGTGTCGAAGAAAATAGAGAAGGTGAGAGTTTCGCAGAGAAGCAGTCGGATCATGCGGAAAACTGACCAGAACAATCACGAATTTCACCGTGAAAAGGAGAAGGCTGAAGTAAAATGTGACAAACATTCCAAAATATTTAGACCATGTTTCCTCCTTGTTACTCTACAAACTTTACAGCTGTAATGTTTTATGTACGGACTGTACACAATTTTTAAGCCTTTTTCCTTTCCTTCTGCTTGTTCTGTAGCTATAATGTGGCATTTATGATTAAAATTTCTAAGAAAAAAAATAAAATAAACGTTATTATTTTATTTTTATATATTATGAAATTATATAGTTGTATATTAGTATTATTAGTATTAGTAGTATTGTGTATTAGTTGTGTATTAGTATTGGTATTATTAATATTTCCCATAGCCGATGTTGACACAATGGCGCCCTCCTGTGGACACGCCTCGGCACAGCAGAAAGCAAATTTGTGGAGATTAAGATTTGAGTGGCACAAATCGTAGATTTTTAATTAAAACCGAATAACACGTATATTCCGATAAATCGATCTCCATCTACGTTCTGCATGCCAGACAATTTGAAAACCATTTACTGTTTGGGAAATGCAAAAAGAACGTATTTAACAACATAAATCTAAACTATGCTGTGTTGGTGTAATTAAGTCATGTGATTGACCAGTCGTTTAATCCTTAGGCGCATTCACAGAAATGACAGAAAATTAAAAGCATGGGTGATATTTAAGAACTATTACATGTTTGATTCAAGCCATATCCATAGACTATATCACAAAATAATCTGTACAAATTTTCTTATTTTATGTTCTTCATGATAATAAATAATTCTCATTTTTCGTAAAAAAAGTGTCACATTAAATGTTAATATATATGTATATATATATATATGTGTGTGTGTATATATATATATATATATATATATATACACACACACATATATATATATATATATATATATACATATATATATATATATATATATATACACATATATATTTTTTTTTTTTTTTGCAGTCTCTTGTGTACATGTTTCCTTCCAAGTGAGTTTCTTACGGCCTGCTCAGGCACAGGTCATTTTCCTTGGGTTGTGATTGACTTCCCTGCTCTGCTGTCTGTCCTTTAGGTCTTGCCTTGAAGAGTCCCAGGTGCAGCAGACAAACAAATACAGCCATGTATTTGGCAAGATTCAATCAGCAGCTCACTGGGACTTTGCGCCAGCTGGTGTTCCTGTTTCCTGGTCAAGTTCTGTCAGACAGCAGTAGAGCAGTTTCTGGGTGTATGTAGTTACCCATGCTGAATGAGAAGAAGAGAGAACACACTTAAAATATAAAATGACATCATATTTATTCATATTGGATATACCGTATTTTCTGGATTATAAATCACACTTGTTTTTCATCATTGTTATTAACCGTATTTTCTGGACTATAAATCACACTTATTTTTCATCATTGTTATTTTCACACTAACAGCCGCTAGAGGGCACTCTCGGCTTGTGTACCAATATCTGCTACTCCTGTATCACTGAAAATTCACGTTTATTATTTTCACACTGACAGCCGCTAGAGAGCACTCTAGCTGGCTGGTGCATCTGGAAAATACAGTAACAGAATCAAATAGTTTTTTGGAATTTTTAGGACATCTGTGCTATACATAGAGACAATATAATATCAAGCTTTGGTCCCCGAGGGTAAAATACTTACTGTTTAATGTGCGTATAAACTTAGGCCTTCTTTCCTCAGGCAGGTAGATGGCGACATAATAGACTGGCACACCTGAGAGGGCGATCCCTATACCTATGAGAGAGTTGACGGTGTCTCCGTACAGAGGCACGATGACTAAGAACAAGCTGCAGATGCAGTAGATGAAGGGGATGACCAGAGTCAGCTGTAGAGAGAAGACGAAGGATTAACTGAGTAACTAGTACATTTTGCAGTATTTTTTTTTTACATTTCAGAACACGTGATCTGAGATGGATCAATTCCTTCACCCGTTTACAGTGATTTGATTCATCACAGCACAGAAAGAAACCACTACCATGAAGAAATGCACTACATTTCCACAAACCACTTCAAGCCAACATTCACCTTGACGGGCCTGGGTCTGTCGGGCTGTGTGATGCGCAAATAGATGAGCCCAGCAACTGAGAGACCCACATAAAGCCAGTAACTGAAGCTGAAGTAGTTGATGAGCTGAAAGACGTCCTCCACACACAGGAAGATGAGGCCCATCAAACCCTGCGAAGGAGCACAATAATAAATTAGCTTTGGTTTTATTTCCAAAATGATATAGTAATCATATAGTAAATCACCTGACCCACAACTAGCAATATTTATTTATATCATTATTGTTTATATCATATAAAAATATTGTTCAGTGCTCTGAGATATAAAATAAAATAATTTATCAGGTGCATGATCTTTATCAAATGCTTTTTACGTTTCAGCGGGCCAAACAAAATCACTTGGACCTTGAGTTTGACACATGCTGTAAAGCAGGGGTGAAAAAAAAAAACTAGTTTTAGTTCAGGGGTCACATACGACCAAATTACATGTCAACATATACAGTATAAATAACAATAAGTCCACGTTTCCCCCCTTTGTTTTCCTACAAACAAGTACAAGTATATTATATATATATACTATATTATAGATATTTGGTAAATTCATCTTTTTAACCTTTGTTTTCATGCAAGAAAGTACATTAGAAAATGTATTAATATGTATTTTTTTTATTTTCAAAATGTATTTCCAAAAGTGGGCCGGATTGAAATCCCCAGCAGGCCAGTTTTGGACCACAGGCCGTATGTTTGACACCCCTGTTCTAGAGTGTTGGAGTTACTTTATAATGCAAACTCTATTGTTGCATGTCACAGTTTGGTGGAATGCACTGGATTTATAATTTTAATTTATAGCTGAACATGTCAATGTTACTGAGAGCGTTGCATGTCACAGTTTGGTGGAATGCAACAATAGAGTTGTTGCATTCGTGGTGTTGTTATTATATAAAGTAGTTGTTTCCTCACGTTGAACAGCAGCGCAGGTATAGGTGTGTAGCGCTCCAGGTGGATCAGACTCAGGCTGTTGGGAAGGTGACCTTCTCTGGCTCCAACGAAAAACAACCTGTAGAGTCAAGGCAGAGATTGTTCATGGGGCTGGCCTTCATCTGACACCAGCTCCGGATGTTTCTACTCACCGTGAGGCAGCGATGATGGAAGCATTAAGTCCTCCATAACAGGACATGGCCACAGACACAGGGATGATCCACTTGAATGGCCCCAGGGCGGCATTCCCAAATGTCTGTGGGATCAGATTCACTTGGTCTTTAACAAAGCCTATTAATACTTGAGGTCATCACGTCGTACACACTTCGCTGACAATTCACTGTAAGCTCTCTGTGCCAGAAAACAAATCTCAGAACGTACCACCGCAACAGCATCACTGGCCAGCAGAGATGGTATGTCCAGTACCACATAGTAGGCCACATTGGTCAGCAGGTAGATGATGGTCACTATAGGCATTGAAATGGCAATGGCCAGAGGCAGATTTCTACGAAGGCAAGAAGGTTTGATGTAATCATAAAACATGTTTTTACTCATTCCTTCTAAGTTACTACTTCCTGGTTTACCTCTCCGGATTCTGAATTTCCTCAGTGACAAAGTTGAGAGTATCCCAGCCAGAGTAGGAGAACAGGGCGGCGTAGAGAGCCAAAGCTATGGCTCCTGGATCGGTGGAGGAGCCTTCAAACGAATTCTCAAAGCTCTTGGTTTCTCCTGCACAGACAGAAGAATCAGGAGGTTTGTTTCATGCTGTGTACTTTGTTGATTTTTTTTCTTTTCTTCTTACCATAAGATAATTTCAGGATGCCTACGATGATGATGAGGCAGAGAGCCATGAGTTTGGCGTACGTGAAGACGTCCTGGACTAATGTGCCCCACTTCACGTAGGCACAGTTGATGAATATGAGCATACCTGCACAGAACAACGGGTGCTTTGAATGTGTGTGTGCATTTGCTTAAAAAAATATATATACAGTATATACTGTACATATATAGACATACAGTATATATATACACATACATATATATAAAATGTATAAATATATACATATATACCTATATAAAATGTATATATATATATATACAAACATATATACACATACATATATATGGATATAAAAGTGAAGTATTAAAAAATGAATACATTTAGGCAAACAATTTAGCCAGAAGTATAGCATAAGACAAGTAGCTAATGGCTAATATAGCCCGTGCTCTAAAATTAGCGTTGATCTCAAAACAAGTACAAGTTAGGGAAAAATATTATGCCTAAGAAATGCACAAGTTAGCTCACCTAGCTAAAGCTACCATAAAACAGCCAAATATTCCAAAAGAATAGCCAAACATTGGCCCAGAAATTGAGAATATGCCTAGTAACAACATGTTGTCTTCTCCTCACTGTAACTTGTGTGTCATGCCAGTGCTGCTCTCTCACCCAGATACCACTTGTACTAAAATATTCCTCTCAGTACAAAGGCCAACTGTGAACTGGTGTGGTATTTTCACAGGACTGAGGGTCCAAATATAGCTGATGCCAGGCTCACGTAGGTCTAAGAAGTTTGAGATGGGCATGAATGACAACAATGAATGACAGTGCCATCTATCTGTCTGTCTGTCTGTCGATAGTCAAAATAAATAGTAAAATGAGATGAGCTCTATTCTTACACAGGCAGGCTGCTGCAATGAGGCGGACGGAAATGTAGGGCGGCTGGCAGGTCGTGTACAGCGCCTCCACCAGATAGTTGGCAAAGGTCAACGCAATCACAGCCTGACTGGCCGGTTCGATCAACAGGATGGACGTCCACAAGCGGATAAAAGCCAGAAAGCCACCGAAGGACTCCAGGATGTAGGCGTAGCTGGCTCCAGACTTGGTGATGGTGGTGCCGAGTTCTGCGTAGCACAGGGCGCCGAAGACGGAAAAGATGCCTCCGAGGGCCCAGATCAGCAGCGACAGCCCGTACGACGCGCTGTGCATGAGCACGCCCTTCGGCGAGACGAAGATGCCGGATCCGATCATGTTGCCCACAATGAGGCAGACTCCATTCGTGAGAGAAATTTCTCTTTTCATGTTCATTTTCTCTTCCTTCCCAGAATTCCCCTTCAAGTCCTCGACGGAGGAAGCCCGAGAACGTGGGCATAAGGTTTGTGACATGACTCCCATCGTCTGCCGTAGATCCCCCATGATCCCTGTGTGGATATGAAGAAGCACAAGTTAAAAGGTGATTCCCTTATCATTCATGAATTCACATTTCCCTTTTCTAAACTACATTAGGTTGAATCTTCAAAATCATCTCAAGTAAACAAATAAAAATCACATGATTAAAAAAAAAAAAAAAAACTTTTAATGACTTAGTTAACAAAAACATAGGACTTTACCTTTTTTTGGGGAGAAAAATCTAAGAGTATGCTTGTCGTTCTTTGGAGCCCCAAAAACGAAATATCACTGCTGCTCCAACAGGACCTGTCACACATGAGCAGCAGCGACAGGGCGGTCAGTGTTGCAATCCCCGGAGCCCCAACAACAACCATCACAACGGGTGTTTTTCCAGCACACACTCTCGTGTTCCTCTCTGTGCTATTTTCAGAGAGGAGCAGACCTCCTCCTCCTCCTCCTCCTCCTTCGTGCCCTGGGGCAGGTTTCTGCAAGACACACACAGAGAAGTTGTTTTTTTGAGTCATCATTTGATGAAAAAAAAAATTGTGATTAAACATCTCTTTGCACATTACAGTATACTTGACCTAAAACTCCTCTTTGTCCATCGACCACAGGGGGGCGACAACCAGTACAGTCTGCAGCAGGTATCAGGACATTTCTTAGTAGGGGGAAACACAGGTGTTCCTGATAACTGGGACTCTGCTCAGGTCAAGTTTCCTCAGTAAAACACGACAGTGTGCCAGCGTGTAAAAATACCAGAACCCTGTACCTAGAAGCGGTTCAAACCCAATTATTTAAACATATGCTTGTTGCCTGCTGTGACAGGCCAACATGTCCTCTGTGAAAAAGACTCACATTGATACACTGAGGGAACCTGCTGCCAACAGAATTGACAAAGGACATTGTTGACATTTTTAATGATGACGTTTACAGCACAGTAACTTTCCCTGCAATGGCCTTTTAAGCCTTTGATGTGATACAGAGAATAAATAACAATGTACCCTAAAAAAAGGAAACTTGCAACCCAGTCTTTGGGAAACAAGTTGCAGATGAAGGAAACGACAGAAATACATCGCTCGTAAAGAGTTTCAATTTTAATGCGTTTGACACACAGAGTATGAAAATAAAATCAGTTTTGCTCACAAAAGAGCTACGAATAAACTAAGCCGTAAAAGTACAGTTAGTTTCTGTCAAATCGGCCTGAACTTAATGATGTCACCCAGTGTTCTCTCCTGTTCTATGTCGAGAGATAGATATACAAGATAAATGACAAGTAAAATGCATAAAGGCTAAAATGCATTTATAATTTTCTACACCATCTATTGGGGAAATGTAGGTGTTGCAGGGGAAATGCAGAAGTATAATGATAATATAAAGAAATTATATAATTTCAAAAAAATTTGGCGGGCCGGATTGGAAAGCTGAACGGGCCACATGCGGCCCCCAGGCCTTAGTTTGCCCATGCCCTACCCTGTTCTCTAGAAAAACGGCAATTACTAATAACAACTGGACTGTGTGCAAGTGTAAAATGAGAATATCTGATGTAGAAACATTAGAACGTCACAAAGGGTATTTTGCAATGAAAGTGCTACCAAAAAAAACCACTCCAATTACAGCTACAACACTGTATTTTTAGCACCATCGCGACAAAATGAGAAGAAACCGGTGCAAATGAACGTGTTTCTTGACAACGTGATTTGGCACAAGAGTTAGACTTCACGCAGAGTCTGAATGAAGTTAATGCTGAAGACACAGACGAGTGTTTTAACTGACTGCTGCTACATTTTTAACATGGACATCTGGATCTGATTCGCCAGTATTTGTTCACAGTTTAAACTAAATGAGCTCCAACCAAATTATGACTAAAAATACAATGCTTCTGTATTTGTAGGAACTATGCAAAATACTACGACTGACTGGAATAGTCTTGTGTAACTGCTACACTGAATCTGTTGGAATCTGAATGCCTTTACTTGTAGCACAGCAACTGGTGACTTCAAACTACCCTTAGAGCATTTGAAAGAGCCACATGTATTTGAAGTAACCCGACAAATATTATTAAAATAAGAGTAGTACTTACCTAGCGTACTTTGAACATCAGAAACCTCGAAGAGTCTCTTATTAAAAAAAAAATTTAAACAAAGCGGAGAACTATGCAGAAGTCATTCTAACTGGTCAGTAAAGTATAGTATATCCCACTGTGTTTATCTACAGGGACCCCTTTACAGGAAGTAAAGGTCAGCCGTTGAATTTATAAAGAAGAAAAAGCCCCTGGTGGAGTGAGGACCAGGATTGGAATTTTATAAAATCAATATTTAACTAGCACAGCTACGTATAGGCACAGGCTAAGGACTGCAATCTGCTATTTTAGCACTGTCGCGGCAAAGGTAAGCTAACACCAACAGCAAATTCCCTAAAAATATTCTGCCTGCATATTAAAGTCTTACCTGACCTCGAAACTAAAGCAAACACCACAGCCCTTAAAACCAAAATACTACAAAACAATCGGATCATTTGTTAGCTGGATGATGACAGTCACCCATTAACGTCTCAGATCAACTGAGTTCAAATGAAGACATTTCTACCAGTACGTTTGCATACACACTAAAGCAGTATTCCACATCGATAATAAAAAAGGCAGAATATACCAGTCGGTGTATAATCGCCACATCATCTTAACGTAATCCTAAGAATAAATAAAACTCCTTAATAGATCCCAAATATTTCAAAATGAAATCATTGACTCAGTCAACATCCTTTTAAATCCAACAATAAAAAATAACTTATTCAAAAAACGGTGGTAATGATGATCAGTTTTCTCCCCCCTGGAGGGAAAACCGAATTTGGCTCTGATTGGCTGTTAAATGTTCCTGGTTAAATTCAAGGACATGGACGTCGGTGGAGCGCTAGGGACTAAGGCTGTGGTGGGGGAGGTGATCTCGACCGGGTACGGCCGGAGACCCGTCTGCTTGTTGTCGTGCAGCTTGTGGACGACGATGCGACAGAAGTCCTCGTCGTGTTTGTGACAGTTATCCAGCAGCTGACGGACCTTGGCGGCCCTGGTGGGCTGGTTTATCACCAGTTCGTAATCCTCTGGCATCAGCATCATGCGGGCCAGCAGTGCGTCGCAGCTCTGGTTCAGGCACGCCTCGGTCATCTGGGAGACGATGGCCTCGCGATGTGTCGAGATCCAATGCGCGACGGGGCCTTTAGAGGCCGTGGAGTGTTGCATTGGAGGGAAATATTCTGTAGGAATGAAAACAGGTTAGAACGTGACAACAAGAAACACTACAAACTGTTGAAATATTTCTATAAATCAATGTTCTTTTCAGTGATAGTGAACTAGGAGAGATGATCCCTGTATTGATACATACAAAGTGCCATTTCCACGTTTCCCAAAGACTGGGTCACAACCCTCAGGTGGGTCGCAAAAGGTTTTTTTCTTTTTTTTTTCTGGGGACCCATATTAATATATAAGTTTGGGAAACACTGTTAGCCCATGTTCCAGAAGGTTTCCATCTAGTGGAGGATGTGTGGTACTACGACACACCACAGCAGTGTTTTCAACTGTGAAGCCATGTTAAATGAGTGCATGTCTTTTCAATAAAACAAGTCGTTTTCACCTGGAGGCTGAGGCTGCGCTTTGATGCTGAGTTTGTCACACTCAGCCACGGGGTTCACACGATTCAAGTCATTCATTGGCCGGGCGGATTGGTAGCAATCAAAGTTGTTGTCAAACGTTTGACAGGGGTCCACCAAAGAGACCGGATGTTCCAGAGTGGGAGGTGTGAGCGAAGACGGCAGTTCAGTGGGAGACGCTTCACGGGGTGAAATGAAAACAGAACGTTATCTTCAACATTTAGCATGAGCCCTGTACCGATGGCAGTCGAAGTGGTCCTTACCTTTAGCCCCTGCAGCAGGAGTGCTGATGAGGACTCTTGGTAGAGATATGTCTGTGTCCTGAGAAGAACAAGAGCCTGATCCTGACGTGGAGCTCTGCTGGAGAAAATCACACACGTTCATGTTCATATGTAGGGTTAAAACCACTGAAGTAGGTTCAGATGACTGAGTGAGATACTGACTGTCCAGGGGCTGGGCCTGCTCTTCAGTGTGTCGAAGGACGCCTCCTGACCCCTGACCTCACATGACGGCTGAGCTGAACTCAATCTAGGCCCCAGCTGTGAAATAATGAAGACCAAGATGAGGAATGCACAGAGAACAAAGAATGTATAGGTCTCTTGTCCACCTCTGTTTGAGGAGAGACCTTGTTCTGTGATAGCGCTTAAGCAACAGATGGAAAAAAAAGATGCAACACATTACGGGCCGCACGGACACATGAAATGATGAGGCGAGCCACATTTGGCCCGCGGGCCTTGAGTTTGAGCAGTATTGCTTATTCTAAGTCATATACTTAATGTATAGACATTATAAGGACTTCACTGCCTATAGAGACAAAATGAAATTTACTGTGTCCCCAGAGGAACCACATATTGGTGCCGCCCATGTAACCCAGGGAACTCGTTTTTTATAAGCCGGATTTACTAGAGGAGAAATAGACTTATGGAGTAAAGGGAACTATAGGGGGATTTTTCAAGCTCACACATGCACACAAAGCAAATACTGAAACTGAAAAGAGAGGAAGGATGTGTTTGAGGCAACCATGATGTAATCACTCATGACAGAGCATCCTGGATTATAAAAAAAGCTCTTTATTATATTGTTGTTTGGGGAAAAAAAATCGTTCATCATTCATCATGAATTTCTACTGTTTCATATGTGGGGAATGTCCCTTTTTACCAAAGATCATATTCCTCATCTCTGGGCAAAATAACCTACATATGCACTGTGTTTTACTGCCACACGTTTGTTTTCTCAAACTCAAAACAAAAAAAAAATACGCTAAAAAGGTTTTAAAATTTTCTTTAAAACCTTTGGACTAACCTTTGACCTCTGGATCTGCAGCACAGCTTCCAAAATGTCGATTTCATCAAAGTGTCTTACCATTGGTTCCAGCTCAATCAAAACCTCTGGAGGAGGAAACAGACAGTAAACATTAGTATGTGTTTTGAGAGAAGGGAGAATTTGAACGACGGTAGTGAGATCTGATACATGGGTTTTAGATGTGTGATTTAGAGACCGTGGTTCTGTCTGAGAAGAATGTGGCAGAGGTGACGATGCTGCGGCATATATAAATAGACACAAATATACGCTCTGTGAACCAAACCTGTTCACGGCATAAGGCGAGGACAGAAAGTATTCCAGTAATGTGATGGGAGTCCAACACGAAGACACCCCTCTGTCAGGTTGGTTTTTACTAAATATGATCGGGAACTACCAGTAGATCCTTCGACGTTAACTTACTGAGGAAAGAAGGCCGTTCGTCGGGATTCGCCGTCCAGCCGCTGATCATTAAATCGATCAGGGTCTCCCTGCAGGGGATGTCTGCGGGCAAACTCGCCATGCTTGTGTCCGGACGTGTGCCGCGCAGCACGCTGAACATGATCTGCATGGGGTTTGTCACTTCTGTCCGACACAAAGAAATAAAATTATTCTGAGAGTGACAAATGAAAAATAAAGGATAATAAAAAAAAACCACTTGATAAAAACAAAACTTCTACCTTCAAATGGAATCTGCCTGGACAGCACCTCCCACATGATGATGGCATAGCTGTTACGCAAACATGTAAAAGAGAGGAGCATTGTCACGTCACTTTCTCTGGGATTTCCCCGCAGAGAGGGACTTTACCGCAAGCTTAGAAAAAGGCTACTTTGAGAAAACTTTTTTTTTATATTTAATGATTGTGTAATTATCACCACTCTCTTCAGCTTCTAGGTTCCTCAAATCATGTGACTGCACGTGGTCAGCAACATTATGAGGTGTGACTGCTCTACGTGCTGTACGTGTTTTAAAATAGCTGTGTTTTTTAGTGTTATTAGTTGAAAACTACACCAGACATACACCTTAAACCCAATTAAAAAAATAGGATTTCAAATTTTATTGACACAACATCATGGTATAATAACATGAATTTCAACAGCCAGATGAACAGGCAGAATTTTAAATAATATTTACTGTTGTTGTGAACTGCAGCCTCACCTGTACATGTCGTGCTTCACATCAGCCCGCCGGTTCTTGGAGGGTTCGTACTCCTCAGGAGGCATGTAGATCACTGTGCCGCCCATCTCAGTGGGTTTGGACCCCGAGCCTCTACTGACAGAAAGCTGACGCCACTTTGAAAGACCAAAGTCTGCAATCTGGATGGACATTGCCACAAAATAATATTTTTAAGGAAATCTAAATATCATCACTTCATAATAAGATTTTTTTTTTTTTAAATCAAACAAGAGCTTACAGATCGTACCTTTACATGAAATTCACCATCAAGCAATATGTTCTGTGTCTTTAGGTCGTGGTGCAAGAGAGGTGGGTTCATGTTGTGGAGAAAATTAACACCAAGCGCGATTTCATACAGAATCCTTATACGCAAAGGCCAGGCCAAAACTGGATATGTGTCCTTCTGTAGGAACGAGAAGAAAAATGACATTTGTAAAGGAGGAGGGGAATAAAATTACAACATGGGAAATTCTCATCTCCCACTCTTATTTAGTTTCATTAAATCAGTAAATAACATCCAGGTTTCACTTTTTCTTATTTTAGAGACAGGAAGAAAAAGAGAAAAAGGGAAGAGAGAGAAAAAACAAGAAACAGAGGGAAATAGAGGGGAGGCGCCGAAAAATGAATTTTTCTTCCCCTCGTCATGCAAGCACAAACAGAAAAAACGAGAACTTGCGATAATCCTCAACATTTCAAATGTGACAGAGGAATGTGTCATCGGGGTCAAAGATGAGGCGCTAGTTCTGGTTTCAGGGATGAAAGAGGAACACGTTGGCAGTTACCTCGTGGAGGAGCTTGTCGAGAGAGCCGTTGCTCATAAACTCAGTGACGATGCAGAAGAACTCGGGCTCATTGCAGATGCCGAATATCTGGATGATGAAGTTGAACCTGGCTTTGTGCAGCACCTCGGCTTCCTTCAGCAGGGAGTTCCTTTCTCTGTAACACACAGATGCTGACACAAAATCAAGCTTTGCTCTCAAAAAAACCAGCAGCAGTGAGTGTGTGTGTGTCATTAACTCCGCTGTTATTTAGACATTACAAAACCATTTATGAGAAAACAGACAATGGTAAATAAGGGCGAGGTGCATGTCATTAAGGTGTGAAACATCTAACAGAAAGCGCAGTTGCAGATGAAGCTTTATTGTCTCTAATCCGAGGTCAGAATATAAACTACATCCAACTTTTACAATGCTTATATCAATATATATAATCCTGCCGATAAAGTTATATCTCATGAAAACAATAATTTATTATTTAAGTTCCAATTCAACTGTTGGTCGTTTCTCTTCTCAAGGTCGTTGAACTCGAACCCTAACTCAAACTCTAAACACTGCATGATCAATAAAATACAACGCAGGCTGATATTTACTCATTGGTTAAATAGTTACATATTCATTGTTCTTGATTTTTTAAAAGCAAATAAGAGCTGTTATAAAATTGATTTTATTGTCTGGGGATAATCATCCAGATATAAATATTGTAAAAAAAGAATCACAGTCAAGTACAGTGAGTCAGCAGCTGAAAATAAAATCGTCTGATTTACAGTTAGAGACCTGGCCTTCCTACAGTAACTGAGATTAAAAAAAGATTAGATTAGATAAAGAGTTTCTATTACTCATAAAACAAGTTCCTTTAAGTAAATCTCAATAAATCTGTACTAAAGCGAGGCGACTAGCTGTGACAGCACAGGAACCAGACAGCAAATAAAGGCATTACAGCACAAAAAAAACAACCTTGCCTTAGAACAAAGGTCATTGTCAGGTTCTAAAAATAATCTTCATTAGGACATATATACATCAGACAACTTCGAATTCCTTTTACATTTTGGCACCTTGATTGATTGAGTCTGACACATCTCCTTTTCAGATTTATCAATTAGTCAAGGTGTAAAGTGTGCTAGTACCTTCTTCTACTCTCTTCCCAGCAGGGGGTGGTGTTTACATAGTAAACAGCATGACCAAGTCAATGATTCAGTTTATATGAGTTCAGGCTGAAAAACAGACTTGTCGAAGCTAGTATTTTTACAACAGGCTGTGGCTCACTCAGCGAGTAGTACCTACGTCCTGTTGTAGTGGAATGGATACTGTATCTCTAATTACTACTTTCAGTGACTGTCAGTAGTTTTACAATATTGAATTTATTTACATGTGACGAAGTTTAACAATAAATGATTGAGTATTGTTGGAGTAAAAATGTCTGTTTAGTGTTTGATATGCGGGGCTGGAGTTACCTTTCTCCCACAGGACAGTCGAGCTTCAAACACTTGATTGCCACGGTGGTCCTCCAGTCCGAGTGTTGCGCCTTGAACACAGTGCCGAATCCGCCTCTGCTCAGGTAGTACAGGTCTGTCAGCTTCTGGTAGGGAATCACCGGCAGGGTACTGGTCAGACTGCCCAGGTTCACACAACCCACATTCGAGCATTGATCCATGACAGGTCTGAAATGTAGCGGTAGTGGTGCGTTCACTGGAAAGCTTCTAAAATTCTGACCTACAACAGTAGGTCAGCCACCGAAAGAAGAAGTAAATCCGTCAACGTTAGAGCAACAAGGAGGAGCCTCCCAATAACAAGCGTGGCATTGTGAGGTAGCTAGCACACTAAGAAGCAAGCGTTCGAGGATAAAAACGGGAGAAATGATAGTCGTTGTGTTTTGGAAGCCAAATGAACAGAATTAAAATTCTACCATTTTCGTCAGAAACCACACAGCACCTGCAGCAGCAGCTGAGAATGGCTTCTTACGACACAGTCTCTATTGATTTGAGGAGGCGGTTTATTATTGTTGATGACGACGAACTTCCGGGATTTTTATGATGCATTTACAACCATAGTTTTTTTCAGCTTTCTCCATGATCTTAACTTCGTAATTTAACCTTAGACTTGTAAGTTTTGTTTGTAAGTAAATAATTATATGTTTTTCTGTACAATAACACTGATATCAGGATTTTCAAAGATTTTTTCTAAACTAAAAGAACATTTCAATTTAGGTTTCGAAAATGCTCAAGGACACACCTTTTAAGATACTTTCAGAATTTACCGGAATTTCCCACTACGTGTGGGACTTTCCTCTCTGGCAAAATTCCGTTAACAACAGATTCCAGAATACTTCTATTAATGGTTTCTTTTCTTTTTTTTTACTATTTTTCTTTACCTTTTTGTTAGTTCACTTATTCAGTTAATATAAATATTTTTACATAATATTCAACTATTTCTGCGTTGTAATATTCAACTATTTCTGCGTTGTTTTATTGTCTATTACCAATAGCATTGTTTTAACTATCAGTATGACTTAGAATAAGCTATTGTTCTAAGTTAGCTCAAGTTTAAACTCAATTTTTTATCCCTCTTAAAGTCCCCTCTAAAAGAATATATTTTCAGAATTCCCACTAGATGGCGATATTTCGTCTCAAAAATTCCCTTTTACAACCTACTACAGCAGTGTAACAAAACATGTTATATATACTAAAACTGTCAAAAACATTAGAAGATTGTGAGGTCAAAAGATTGGTAAATTATATTTAATAAAAGAGTATAAATATGCTACTTAAAAATGTTTGAATAATGTTACTAAAATGAGATTAAATTATGGCGTCTTTAGAAACACCATTCAACAATGTTATTGATAAAAATATAATACTGTTCACAATCGGTGCAAATGATTGCTGAGACTTGGCTCATTGTTTTATTTGTATAAATACCTCAGAGTCAGCTGCTATTTCTTCATGTTTGTGTCATGTGCCCTGTTTTTTTTTTAAATTATTTTTATTTTTTAAATTATTTTCTTTATACTGTAAATACTGTTTTTTTCAGTGCAGTTCAGGGTTCAGTAGATAAAACCGTTGACATAAATGGTGTTAACTTCGCCTCTAGACATTATATTTTAAATGGCCCCTCATAATGTCAGATCCTAGATACGGTTACATTTCCTGGGTGTTACTGTACACCACACTTTATCATAAAAATGTCCATGTGTCAGTGAAACCTGCTCGGTTTTCTATTAAATGACTGTTCATAGGGGAAAAAAATCTGACATTGGACGGAGGCCAGCCGGAGTTTAAAGGCAGGCGGCTTGTCTGAGCACAGTAAGAAGTTTATGGGGTTTACACAGTACATTAGTGACCTGACATTTTCTGTAATAACATGTCCACGGCGCTGCGTCACATTTTGATGAACATTGTGCACGCAGGCTCACAGATGTTCATTTGTGTGTCTTTTTCTTTAATCCTTCTATCACTCCGCCCTGTCTCCCTGCATCTGTTCTTCATTTTCCTTATCTGCCATTTATACCAGAGGACCCACTGAGGTTAACCAGTCTCTCTGCTGTGTACCTGATGTGGACACCTCTCTTCACTGCCAAAAAAAAAATTTAGCTAAAAGCTAACATATAGAGTATCTTTCATTTAAAAGTGCAGGCAGTTCATATTTCTAAAACCTATGTCCTAAGTTACATGTGTCAAACTCAGGCCTAAGGTGTAATTATATTTGGCCCGCCAGTATATAGATGCTATATATTTTTTTCAAATGTAATTTCTCATGTGTTTATGATATTAAACTTTGTTTGTTTCCATATGAAAAAACGATCTACCTGTACTCCTTTTGTGATCTACTTTAAACCATAATAATACAACGTTTGATGAATTTGTGTACATAATACTGTATTCCGAGAGAGAAGTTAACATTATATAAATATGCAAACATACCTGAGGTTCATTATATAAATATGCAAACATACCTGATGTTTTTTTTTTACTGTTTTATTTCCTTAAAAAATTATGTTAATAAGCTACAAAGTTCTATTCCAAGTTATGTTTGAAATAATATTGTAAAGGCCTGTGTGATGTCTGTGTGGTGTTCTTTACATGAACATACATGATACTCACCAGACAGGGAGAGATCATGATCAAGAAGGTGGTCCACCCAGGGCGAGACCCTCCGCAAATTCCCCAAATTACGGAATCTCCACAGCATTGTTCCTGGTAGTGTGGGGGACAAAAGGGCTGCGCATGAGCTCTCCCCTGATTTTTTTTTTAGTTCCACAGTGCAAGCTCTAAAAGCTCTAAAAGGACTTCAACTTTAAGACTGTGTACCATCTGCAAACTGAAAGTACACCAGTTTTTTAACTGCTGGCATTTCTTGTAAACATTTTTGTCCCAAGTGTTTGTTGTTCCTTCTCCAGCTCCTCGCCTGTTTCACATTATGTAACCAGTTCTTCAGGTTTACCCAGAACATCTCCACTGTCTCAGGGGTCGTACCACTGACTTTGGGGTTTTTTCTCCCCCCACTGTTTTTGCAGCAAAACATTTTGGGGTGTTATCTAATAAGGCCTGTTCTCAGGGCTGACACGTTCAGACGTGGACGTGCACACGTTACCAATGAGATTCAACAGTGACCGTCGGTGTAGCTGTGAACCAGCGTGTGCAGCACCAGGAAGGAAACGAGGCGGTGAAATGTAACTGTAGCCACGGTGGCTTTTATTATTTACCGTTCGATACTGAGATCTCCTCCGAAGTCCTCCAGACATGTGCGTTCTCTCTAAGGCCACATGGGTGATAAGTCTCCTGGAAAACTAAAACCATCCCAGTTGCCCCACCGCCTCCCCTCCACCTACTCTCCCAGGGGTTCTTCACCAGGAAAGCGGTTAACGGGGGTGCAGTATTGTTGCGTAAAATAAGGGTGACGTGAGAAACAGTTTGAGTTTGGACACAACATTGAAAATAGTTATATTAAAGTAATTAGGTAATAAGGTGTATTACTGCCACCTACTGGGCCAGTCATGCAGCCATATTATATCATTAAAAAAAAAGATCTTTTTTTTTAACCTGTATTTTTTTCAACACAAAAAGGTCATGCAGCCATATTATATCATTAAAACATTTTTTTTATTTTTTTAACCGGTATTTTTTTCAACACAAAAAACCCACCAGACATATGAAAAAAAATTGCAGGCTCTTGCAGAAAGTTTATACTTCCTGTTAGGGTTACAGTTAGATTGTTACAACCAGACATACACTGTTTAAATTGTATATTGTGTGAATATATTCACCTCCACTTTGTAGTGAAGAACAGTTAGGAAAAGAAAAATCTATAAAATTCACACTCCTTCCACAAGCAGGAGCCCTAGTGCCACAAGTGGTACGCTGACCTTCGTTTGAGAACCGTCTCCCTTTAAAATAAACGGTGCTAATTCTAATATCAAAATATCCTGAGGTGGTTCGTTTTACGTCACTGTTCGCTATTTCTGCTCGGTCACGTGAGGTCGACGACGCGTTTTCTGATTAGATTTTGGTTTTTCTCCGCCCTCGTGCAGAGATGAGCGGCTCCACCTCGCTCACTCGCGCACTTTCTCTCTCGCTCTTTCTTTCTAGCACACACATACATACGCGAGCGCGTGCACGTGCGCGCACACACACACCCGGTCTACCGGAGACCACAGAGAACATTCGAACGAGAGGAAGATAGAAGTGAGTCATAGTGAGTTGTGCCGTAAAATTTAAATTTGTGTCGAATCAATTTGCGTTTACGTTCGAAGTCGGGAAATTGTGTGATGATTAAGAGGTGTTCTTGTTTTTTCTCGTGTCCTTAACAGATTTCATCATCGTCATCATCATCATCGTCATCATCATTATTATTATTATCATCATCTTTGTTATTACCAAGGATGAAGATCACCATCACACACTTGCTGTGCTTCGTCCTGCTCATCCTCCCACTCTCCTGGGCTGAGGACAGCAAGAAGAAGGAGAAAAAGACCGAGAGTGACCCAGGTCAGAGGATCATTATTCATCATATATTATTAAAAATATTATTTTTATATATATATATATATATATATATTACTGCAGTGTCAGGGTTGGGCAAATTGACTGTTATGCTTCTTTAATGGTTGGTGATTTCTAAAAATGCAAATTTGCAGACTGAATGCGAATTAGACTTTAGTTTTTGACGTTTTTTTCAGATAAGGTTTTTAAGGTGGTGATGGTATTTAACAGTACACAAAAAGAAAGGATCACAGTTTCTGTTACTGCAATATTGTGTTGTATTATTTTATAAATATTTAAAATATATTCTTTTTTATTTAAAGCTGAAAATAATGTTAATGAATAATATTATTATTATTATAAAATGATTATTCAATAACCAGGAAACCACGGCAGCAGATTTTAAAGGAGCATGTGATTTCCAAACTCTTCGACCCGACGTTCGGCTTTTCGCAGTATATTATTAAGTTATAAATCTGGACGGTGAACTGAAACATGTACTTAGGTAACTGACTCTAACCTAGACAATGAAAACAAGCCTCAGGACCTGGGCATCTGTTTATCTTGTTCTACATGGCATTGCAGACATTCCCTTCTGCCTTTGATTTATCTGTGGCCCCCGGCTCTTCATCTTGGTCTTTTAAGACGGATGTGGAAGTTTTTATTAAAAAAAAATTAAAAAAAAAAAAAAAGGATAAAACAGGAGAAAGATATTTAAGGTTTTTTTTTCTGTAAACCAATATAATTTGTTTGAATATCCTTGTTTTATCACCACGCCGTCACAAGTGATTGATCAGTTTATGCAACAAAAAAAAAGATTGTGGCAGAAGAGGAAGAAAGATAAAAGAGCTATAAGTGCAAAGAAAAAAAAAATCAGGAAAAAGTCTTCCTGACCGGTGCCTCCATCTTTATCTCTGTGTCACCTTTGACCCCTCGTGTCTCTTTATATTATATCAACCCTGCACCGATAAAAGGGACAGCCAGAATGCAGCTGCATGGCAGACACCTAAATCCAGATGCTAAACATTTGGTATAAAAAGCAGTAGCGTTCAGCTGTTCAAAAAAAAAAATCCCTTGGGTTTTTCTAGAATTATCTTCTAATATAGTCTCAGTAGGGTTGTAATTGAAAATACTAAAGAAATATATTTTAATAAATTTTTTTAACATCCAAAATTGTCTAAATCACAATAGAAAAAAAAAAAAGTCCAAAAAACTGTGTTACACAACGTCAGCGTAGGTTACATTGAAAAAAAATCAAGTAAGCAACATCTGGGATGGGGACCTGTGTGGGTCTGGGTCCCGTGTGATGATGAAAAGTGTGGAATTCTGTGTCTTTAAGTTACTAAATGGAATAAGTAAAATCACACAAGCATCGGTTTTGTTTACAGTTAGATTTGCAGTATTTAGTTTCAAACAACTAAAATGAGACATTGATCCACAACAGAGACTCTACTCTATTTGTTATTGGATAAGCCTTAAAGATGGAGACTCACAGGGATGACATGAAGGGACGCTCTTGATTTGTTTGAAAAAAAAAAAAAAAAAAGTGTTCTTTTGTATATACTCCGTGATCAAAGCAAGAGTGAGTGCCTCAGCATCAGCAGGAGAAGAAGAAGAAAACGTTACCAGGCCGAGTTGGATTATTTGTCTGCGAAACCACCAATTGGACATCTGTACGTGGTCCACGACTTGTGTTGGACTGGAACGGAATGTGTCCGTCACTAGGCTAAAACTAAAACAAAAAACAAAAAAAAACAAAACTGGTTACAACAACGAGGGGCTTTTTTTTTTATTTGTTGGTCTTGGGACGGAGTTTGGTATTTACGGTTTGCTGTAAAAACACTGTAAAATAGACCTTTAAACACGCCTGGCCTGGGGCTAGCAGGTTCGCTTTGATGGTTTTTGTCAGTCCGGTACCTTTAGGCGGGTTTTCGTGTGCACACGTTGGGCAAATTATTTCTTACTATGTGATTTTTGTGTGATGACTTTAACGTTGATGATGATGATGGATGGATGGATGGACTTTAACGTGCATATATTTTTTGTACTTTGAAGAAAAAAAACAAGTGTGAGATCCCAGATAATGCTAGCATTTAGCACATTTTGCTCTTATTTAAACAGACATGTTTGTGAAGAAATATCATCCTTAATAATAACGTCCACCTGCGCAGCCGTTGGGATCAGTGGAACAAAACGAACACAGCTGCAGCTCGTACATACGGTTCTCCACGCTGCACGATGCTATGTCGATGCATGTAATGTACGGTCAAAGTGATATCCCATAACATGCAACCAGTGAAGGTCCTGCTAGCTTGACTGATTTAACAAGAATTATTTAAAACACATGTATACGTAAAAGGTTCGCTGCCACCTACGTTCTCAGGGTGTCCAGGACTGCTAAAATCAGCATTAAAGGTCAAAATAAAAAAATAAAAAAATTACAAGAAAGAAAAATCAGCCCCAACGAGTTGTTCAGGAAACGTACTGCAAAAAATAGTAGAAATAACTGACAATTATTGTTGTGTCTCAATTCAGAACAATCAGATAATAATAATAATAATGGTGATAATAATAACAATAACACTAATACTAATAACAATTATTATTATGCAGATAATAATAATAATAATGGTGATGATAATAACAATAATACTAATAACAATTATTATTATTATTGTTATTATTATTTTGTGGTGACTAACCACATTGACTGTCAGCCTGTTTATTTATTTATGTATTTATTTCCTCCTTAAGTTTGGAGCCAACCCAAGCCAAGACGACTTTTCGCGAGGCAAAAGATTTCTTCATCAAAGGATCATCGCACTCCCGTGAGCGCTCTTCCATCACCGTTTAATGTGCATGCATGTGTTGCCGAGCTTTATGTTACGACTCAGCTACATGTAATTAGGAAGAGGTGTGAAAAACACTGCATGGAACCAAAAGCATAAACAGTGTGTAACCACAAAGCTGCACGTCCAACATGGGGCTCGAACCCACGAAAAAAGTGTGATCCGCAGACACAGTGTATATCTGGTTGTTTAGGCCCAGTCATCTGCTGTGCAATTTTTGTTATTTTCCTCTAAAAAGGATCATGGTGAACAAAACCGACTTCATGTTTTTGTTTTGTTTTTCTAGAAACACAAGTCTAACCTCAGTGCTCCTCTGCGGCGTTGCGGTCGCATGACGGAGAACTGCTCGGCTCGCGTTCCCTGCTGTGACCCGTGCGCCTCTTGCCGCTGTCGGCTCTTCAACACCATTTGCCACTGCTGGAGGACCAACAAATCGTGCCGAAATAGAACCTAAATGGAGCAGACACGTAAAAGAAAAACGTACTGAGATGTGCCAACCAGCAAACTGATTTAAACGTAAAAAAACTAGTTAACAGTAAAATATTTCTGGTGTATTTCTGTGGTCATTTTCCTGTGAGCTTTAGCATCACCAGTGCATTTCATGCAGAGTTGGAATAAACCATAATAGGCAGCAGTTCGTTGCACAAGCGTAGTATCAGGCACCAGATGTTTAGTACTGACTCTCAGCAAGTCTTGAACAGTATTTCAACAACATTTTGAAGGAAGTGGGGGGATATGCAATACCTACATGGTACAAAACGGAGCTTCGTATAAAAAGCTAGATGCAGCTAAAAAAAACATGTTTGGTGAAGATGCTAAGCTGTAAATGACAGTACCATCAGTGTAGAAAGGTATTCCTGAAATCACTATATTGAAGTACAAAGAAAACGCATTTTTTCTAATTAGGTTCTTTAACAGTTAGATATATTACTTTTCGTATTTGTAATTGCATGCCATAACATATGCTATCCAGACATTTTTATTTTTTACATTTTATAAAAAATGTGATAATTGATTATTTCACCCTTTTTGTATTAAAACATTAAAACTCCATCATTGTGTTTGTTCTGTTTTAACTATTCCTTCAGGAAAATATATTGCTCTTTATATATGTTAACTGATGAGGCACACTGCTGGTGGAACTCAGGTGATGCATTTTTTGACAGAGGATGACTGGGCTGGAAAAAATGTTTAACCACGGACTACAATCGGTCCCCAGCCTGGACTTTGGACATGCCTTATCTGCTCCATATTTCTTTGCAGGGTCGCACGAGGGGGTGAGGGTGGTCCTTTCACCAATCCTAGCCATAAATCAGCGAGGGCAGGGTTCACCCTGGACAGTTCGCCAGCCCTTTGTTTTCATGGAAATAAGTATAATTATATTAGAAAATATTCACATTTAATGAAATATAATTTGACAAAACATCACAAACAGGAAGTGTATGTGCATTTTTTTTTCACTTCCAAAATTCTTCAAGTGGGCCGGATCGAAAAGTCATCATCCTAAGAAGCTCGCGATGTATCGCAGAGGACAGACCAAATTTGTTGTTTTTTCCCACACTGTTTCAGCCAGAGGACAGACCAAATTTGTTGTTTTTTTTCACACTGTTTCAGCCTCAGGTGGAAAAAGAAGAAGAAGAAGAAGAAGAAGAGAACCGTTCTGGCCTTTCAGTCATAAAGCACCACAGCTGGAGGCTGCTCTGAGGACACCACTCAACTTTATCTACCTATTAGACCTCCCTGTAAAGTCAATCTCCTTCTAGCTGGTGAAAGATTAGACAGAAAAACACTGCGTATGATAACCAGGGACAAGCAGATGTTTATTGTCTTAGCGGAACAATTCCCAGCTTCCTGTTCTCACACTGTTGGCTCAGATGGACCACATTCTTGGTGACGTCAAGTACAGAGCGTGGAGCGTAAGCTCTTTTTTGTTTTAGGAATGTCGTCAACTGTGTTTGGATGTTATCTTCTTCAGAGGCTGGTGAAGAGACAACCGGACTTCAACTTCTCCCCCCTCAGGGTGGTCAGGAATGTTACGCCATCTATGTGCTTAACACTGAGAGTTCGTGTGTCCATCTGACGAATTAAGGAGGTTAAAAAACAGCGCCGTCACATTGTTGGACTTTTTGCTGATTTACCTGACGTTGCTTGACCTTATTTGGCCCATTGTTTCCCAATGACTGGGTCATGACCCTCGGGTGGGTCACAAGAGATTCTGATGTGATGTATATGTACGATATATCAGAAGGACATGTGCTTTGATATGCCACAATGTTACCATGCATAAGTAATTCTGCGTCCCCTAAATCTTTCTCCAAGTAATTCTACAGCATGTGGCGCACAGCAGGCAGTACAGTTAGCTGTACTCATGTACAGTATGTTCCCCGCATGAAGAAACATGAAGGGGTTTATTTTGGTGTGGGGTGTGGTGTTGTTCTACTTCCAACAGCTTTATGTCTTTTCATCCTAATTCAATCAATGCAATAGACTCCAAGCTGTGTCCAACACTAAATATGCAATTACTTCAATAAAAGTCTGCGGGAAACACTTCAGTTTGGCTCTTTTTTATGTCACAGCTATTTACAAACTAGAAACAGAGAGTGGTAAACACACACACATGTGCTCACATCACCTGCTGTAATAACATTATTATTGTTTACCGCAGAAATTCATGAATAGTGCTGAATTATTTGTGGTTTAAAGCTACTAGGATATGGCGTTTATATATTATATTTAAATTTACATGTTTGTTATTTTCACACTGACAGCCGCTGGAGGGCACTAGTGCAACTTATACTCTGGATCGATATACTGTATAGTCCGGAAAATACGGCACTGCTAATCTGCTGGAAATATCCTTAACTTTCCTTGCCTGTCCTACCAAACATGAACTTATTTTAATGTATAAAATGTCCGCAGTGTCTCTTGACTTGTATCATTCTGGCCACTTTTTTTAAGATGCAGGCAGACTGCAGCATTGGACATACCATCATACACCTCTAGTGTATAAAATATCTTGTACACTATCATTTCTGCAAATAGGAATCGATGTGTTTGTGTAGTTTTTGTCCTCTTCACCTGTGTAATGATAAGTTGGGGACACCACTCCTCGTCTGCCGCCGGTTTTCGTCTCAAGGGACCGTCAGAAGGGTGCGTATTTCCTGGACATGCAAAAAAAAAAAAAAGAAAATTGATGGGCAGAACATGGTTCCGTCAGATGGTTCACATAATAACGGAGCAGAAATAAGAACAGACAGAAACAACTTAATTTGGTACCAGCAGTAGAGAAGCCCACGTCTAAGTGCTCGCTGATTTAAATGATGTCTTGAAATGATTGAATGAGAGTTTTTACTCTGAAGGTATTAGGACTGAAGTCTTTTGAAATACCCTACAGACAATTGAATTTCCTTATAAGCCCCCCACATGCTTTGTAGTCTGCTTCCTAAACATGCAAACGAACCAGAGACCTGTTTATTGTTGTGTCTGCTTTTGATTTCAGGGAAAACATCTGGTTCAACGTGGAGGTAACTGAAGAATTTCTTACCCCTCAGACGCCGGCCCCTGAACCAAAATGAGTTTGACAGCCCTGCTTTAATACATTAATATCATTTGCAAAAGTTTTGTGTTAATCAAACCTAAAAAAAGGAAACTCAAAAAATATTTTAAAAAAATGGGAAGTGAACACAGTTCAGTCTTGAGTATCTGTGGAACTTGTCCGTAACAGAGTGGAAGGGAAATAACCGCACAGATATTAGTCAGCCGATGAATTAGGCTTATTTATAAAGTTGCTCTTTATAAAGGGACCGTCTCTAGGGCACGCCACCTTTGTTAGGGACTAGTCTGATGTCATGGCAGAGCTCAGCTTTAACGTGGACCACGGTTACCTGGAGGGTCTGGTTCGAGGGATGAAGGCTGGGATTCTCACAGCGTCGGACTACCACAATCTGGCCCAGTGTGATACCCTGCAGGGTAAGAATATTTTAGTATTATATACATTTAGTAGTATATATAAATGAATAACAATATATAAAGTGTGCAAAATTAGCTTTAAAAAAATTCTCTTTACCTCCTGTGAGGTCTTATCTCCTCTGAGGTCTTGCTTTTTTTTTCCCTCTTGCCTGGTTACTTCGTGGTCCAACATCCTTTATAACCAAACTGCTCCACCTTAACTGACCTTCTGATCTTATTTCTGATCACGTCCTTCCTGGTCACTACTGAAAATCACAACATCACTTTACTTCACTACTGTCTAATACTTATTGCCCTCTTTTCGAGGGGTGTCAGACATACGACCCGCGGACCAAAACCGGCCCACTTGGGAATTCAATACGGCCCGCTTGATGAATGTTGAAATAAAAAAAAAAAGCCTAAACACTGAATGGACACACTGAAAAAAAAAAAAAAAAAAAGCCTAAACACTTAATGTAAGGGATGTCGAATATTTCATCAAATATACATATATTTTGTAATATATTTGTAGTTATAAAGGAAAATCCCTTAAAGTCACAAACATTAATCTTCATTATTAGTTGTTATACAGTTTTAGAGAAGTTCTTCTGGATAACGTATTTTTAGCAGAACTTCCCCTAATTTAACTTCCTGTTTTCCCCTCTTCTCCTCTGACCGCAGACATGAAGCTACACCTTCAGAGCACAGACTACCGTGACCTGCTGTCCTCTGCTGAGGACCTGACTGTGTCTCTGGTGGACAACATGCTGAGAACAAACCTGGTGACTGAGTTCAACTATCTGCGCTCCAATGCTCTGCCTCCACTCTCCACCTTTCTGGATTATATCACGTATGGAAAAAAAAACAACGTAGTAAAGTAACCATGCATGACGAACTCTTACTATCCAGAGCAGCTTTAGATGACTTGGCACTATATATTACAGATACAGTTACATGATTGACAACGTGGTGATGTTGATCACCGGAGCCCTGAAACAGAGAGATGTGTCCGAGCTCCTCCCACGATGTCACCCGCTGGGCGCTTTTGATCAAATGGCTGCTGTGTGCATCGCCCGCACGCCCACTGAACTCTACTCGACCATTTTGGTGGACACACCACTGGGTAATTCAGATCATCTAGTCTCCTCTAATGATCAGTTTTGGAGAGTTATCCTAGCAAAAAAAAAAAAGAAAAATATATTTAGTAAATAAAACTGGTTGTTGACAGTAAATATCCCAACGTTGGTGCAGCTCTGTTCTTACAGGATGCCGTATCTGATTCAAGCCTGGATGAAATGGAGGCCGAGATCCTGAGAAACAAACTGTACAAGGTGATGGTTATTGGTTGTGAGGGTTACAGGGTCAACGAAAATGCTCGTGAGCCACTTCTGCTACTTCCTGTTTGTAAGAGGAAAACATGGACAACAACGTACTCACACTTTGTGAAACATCATCACCTTTACACATCATTATTATTAAACAATATTTCATTTTGTTTTTTAAAGGCATACTTAGAGTCCTTCCACTCTTTCTGCAAAAACCTTGGTGGTGCCACCAAGAACATCATGTGTCCAGTGTTGGAGGTGGGGTAAGGTTTAAAAGAAAAAGTTTTACCACATTAACACATTAAAAATCAAGTGAGTGTGTGTGTGTGTATGTTTGCTGCAGTTCGAGGCCGACCGACGGGCCTTCATCATCACAGTGAACTCCTTCGGCACAGAGCTCAGCGGTGCCGACCGCAGGGCTCTGTATCCGACCTGTGGCAAACTGAACCCTGACGGACTGCAGCTGCTGGCCAGAGCAGAAGACCACGAGCAGGTCAAATCTGTGGCCGACTGCTACCCAGTGAGTTCCAAATGCATCGGTGTGGCTTTTTCTTATTAAAGAGGCTTCGACCAACTGCTAATTCAATCCTTCGATGTACTACAGGAATACAAAATCATATTTGACGAGCCACAACAAGGATCGGCCAAGACGCTGGAGGACAGATTCTTCGAACAGGAGGTAATCCAGCTGTAGCGCTGAGAGGGTGGCTTTAAAAATCAACAGAAGCTCTGCCCATCATATTGGTTTAACGTCTACACAGCAATAAAAGCAGACAAGCACATGCTGACTTGAAAGGGCTTTAATGAACAAGAAGCCAAAGACATTTTTGTGACGCCACTATTGACCTTTGACCACCCACATCTAAGCTGTTAAGTCCCAAGTAAATGTAAAAAGGCTCCCTTTATATATATATATATATATATATATGTATGTATGTATGTATGTATACTCTGTCATCAAGCAGATTTTGTCCTGGATCCAATCTGGTTTCATTCCCAAGTCAGATCAGTCCCATGGGTCTTGACCAGGTCTGTGATCACAATCAATCATTATGTCTGTCATAATGGAGAGGAGTCTTCGCTGGACTTCAAACAGCCCCCTCCTGGAGTCGATGACAAATCATACTTAAATGTTTACTAGCATTATAAATCAAATGAGGATTAGGGATGTTTTTTTTGTTTTGTTTTTTTTTTTTTCCCCAGACATTGTTTCCACGAGGAGTTTCGATCGGAGTCTTTTCAAATTCAACTATCGCGTCAACATTCCCTTTATTGTACATACCTATGGTGTAATAGTGAGAGTTGTTTTTTTTAAGTGTATATTGTTCAAGGTAAGTAATGATGGTTTCATTTTTCTTTTCCCTTCAGGTCAAGTTGAACACTCTAGCTTTCCTGCAGCAGTTCC